AATTAAAGATGTGGTTTTCTTTGCTTTCATTTGCTGAAAAACACATAAAGAGAGATCTAAGTCCATCTTTCAACTATCCATATAAATAATAACCCCAAAACAAATTACAATTTTCTCTTTGCAAAATATCTACCCATTTAAACTCAGTAAGACAGCTACATAGCTGGAGGTATCTTAAACTAGAAGCCATTTATGACGTGCTCTCCCAGTGGACATCTACAATCCCTTCATATTTGTCCTTGTCTTTGCTATGCTGTGCCACAGCCCCAGCACTCCCCCTTTGATGGTTCTGTGGAAGGCTTTCTGAGGTGCTGTCTTTACAGAAGGACACACACACAGTCCTAGTTTTCCACTTTCTCAGTCTACACCCATAATAACAGGCTGTTTTCCAAGTGGAGATGTGTGCTATCTCCACTGTTTTCATTCTGCTTACCACAAGAGTTAAACTCCACTCCCTCACCTGAAAAAAAAGGTAAGTTTAGCTAAGCATTTTCAGAAGGACATCTGTGTTTCTCCATTTCTGACATCCTTTCACTCCAACACAGTAGCTCATCTATGAGTACTAGTTCCCAACACACTTCAAGAAACCATAAGCACTGTCTTTTCAATTACTTTGATCAGTATAGCTTTCCTTTGGCAAAGCTTGTGGGATAGTGTTTCAGAGTTCAGAAAATGGAAAGACCTTAGGAAGATACTGTTTCCAAGATAATTAATACTTAATCCATCTCTGTATTTGCCTAACACGCTGAAGATATGTGTTCCATAAATGGTCGAAGACTGGTTGCATCCAGTTTCTGCCATTTGTTCTATGTTTGAGATCTTTATTGCCCTGTAACTTTAAAGTCACAGTTGTCAAGGGTGCTCATGGGCTAAAATAAATCTCTTTAAGTAGCTGACTCTCAATATCTTAATGGCTTAAAAAAACCAACCAACCAACCAACCAAAAAAAAACAACCCCAAAAAGCAGGATCAAAGGCCTGAAAATAATGTTGGAAGGTAACTAAGAACCAGGAAGTTCTGGCCCTATGGGGCAAGAGAAACCCAAGCCACAGCCAACTCTCAACAGTTTACCTTTGAGCTACCTGAAGCCACTGCTTTAGCACTCATCAGATGCAGTCAATTACTGTACCCTTATCTGGATTTAATGATGATGGGAATTGAAATGGTACCTTATCCAGGAAGTAAGGAAATTTCTTAGAATATGTGAAATGAAGAAAGGGAAGAGAGAATGAAAAAAGGTAGGAGATCAAGAAAGAGATCCATCAACACTACTTTTTTGTTTATTTACACTTGCTGGGCAATCAATTGTGGGCTGCAAGCCAGACTGAAGCAACATCATGATGAAGAACAATCAGCTTGTGTTCTGATCTTTTCACTCAAAAATTTGCATGTAGTCTGGTTTGTTTTCTTTGGGTAGTAGAAGAAATTGAGAACAAGATACACAGACAAGCATCATGTGGTAAACAGTGGGCAGATAAACACGATTTTCTTGCCTTCTCTCTCCCATTAGTGGGGAAAAACTCATAAGAGATTCAGGAAGAAGGGCGGCACTGGTCACAGCAGGCCCCCCAGATGAAGGTCAAAGAGAAGAAACCATTCCCTGTCACCACTGTACACAAAGTGGAGCTTTGTAAATGCTGAATCATCAATTCATTCTGTATCAGAGGTGGACAACAATTCATTCTGTCAAGACTGTAGAAGTGAAGGAGAAAAAAACAAGTACTGTGACAATTACCTTAGCACTGTATGGTACATTTAACTGCTGATTTCGCTCATTACAGTTACCACTGTGTAGCACATTTAACTGTGGTACATTCTTCCTTAAAAACATCCCTATGAATACACAGCTGTGGTATTCTGAATGAGTCACTGCCACTGAAAATCTTTAAAACTAGGAAAGAATATTCCTCTTTACCCTCACCAGCCGGTTTCTGAAGCTTTAAATAACTCTAGCACATAGGCACAGAGATGTTCTATATACACTAAGGACTTGGAAATTCCTAGACTTGCATTATAATATAAGCACTTTCAGATATAGAAAAACTTTTGAGATATTTTTGAACGATTTCACACACCCCATAACTGAGTAATACCAGTTCTTCTCCATTATTGCTGAATTTCTACCACAAAGACTGAAATTCTCAAATTTACAACTTATATTTCAAAACTAGAGAGCACACAGTATGGTAAGAATATACTAAAAGCAAATGAACCTGCATTTAGTACACTTCTTTTCTAGTTATTATTAAAAAAGGGAATGATTGATACAATAATCAAAACAGCCTAAGCATTTGTTAAATCGTAATGGGAGTTTTAACTACAATCCAAAACTTCAGAATCCATGCATTTTACAAGCCATTGAAATTTTTGTTTTAAGAGTTCACTACCACACCTAGCATGTCATTTTAGTTTGTGGAGGCACACCACTGGTTTTTTTTAATCCTGAAGACTTCTGGAATATTTTACAGAGCACAGTACAGCGTACTGCAAAAAAATGTCTGTCCTTGCAGACATCCCTTAACTCAACAGGATTTTCTAAAAAGAAGTTTGCAACTTCATTTGAATCTTGAATTACTATTATTATTGGTTTTAACATAAGCAGGGTATGAATAACTTGTGACTAACAGCCCTGTTGCTACACAGTTCATCACTGAAATTATGAGATTAAAAAGAACAATGACTAATAAGGCAAGGTGTATTCACATTCAGTGCTCACCCTTTTTTTTTTAAAGATTTCCAGCGGCAGTGACTCAGTCTAGATAATAACAACCCCTGCTCAGTTAAGACTGCTCAGGAAGTCTAACTGGTCTCAAGTGTCCTTTTCTACACAGAAATATTAACAAGTAATTACTTGTAGAGTACAAATTCCTATAATCCATATTCATCCACAAGTGACACATATCATCCATCACCAATGCAGAGCCAATGAACACGAGAGATGGATTTTAAATACACTTAAAAGTATTCATTTAACACTCTTCTACGATTTTCTCCATATAACAAACACGTAGTGATATAAAATATTTCAGCTTAAACACCAGTCACTAGTTTTTCTTCCTCAATTTCTACTTTACTTAATTTGTACCATGATGAGCTCATCTCAATATTTGGAAAGTCAAAAGAAGTTAGAGAATTTGAAATTCTACTAGTCATTTATTCACACTTATTTTCTTCCAAACTGAAATTTAGTCTCTGAATTTCAAAAAGAAAAAAAAAAAAGAAAAACAAGTAACATGAGGAAATAATAGCACATGTTCAGGAAGGGCTCCCAGGAAAGGTTGTCAATTTTAACTCAGGAAACTGAGATTACAAACATCTCAAACTGCTCCACAGCAGCAATACGGTAAGAAACGTAAAATTATTTGCCCTAAGAAACTACAAAGTACAAAACCACCCAGCATCAAATAACCCTTTACTCTCCTGCAGATGTAGGTTGCACGTTACAGCAGCCACAACAAAAAACCCCAAACAAGACATTCTTCACACACAAAAATTCCCAGTTTCCAAAATATTTCAACAATATAGGTTTAAGAATGTAATCTTACCGCTGGAAGCTTCAGAGCCTTTTGGCTTAAACACCATCTTTAACATTATCAACAGGCCTGCTGAAATCAACATCTGACCTCCAATGCTTGTTAAAGACGCTCAGAATTATCACTGAGGACATGATGCAGGGCTGGAGTATGTGTGATTTCCCTTCAGCCAGAGTTTATTTAGCATGAGCATTGTTTTCTGCACTAGAACAAGCTTCTTTTCTCTAGTGTGGGTTCTACCACCCTGACAAAAACAGCAACAATAAATCATGCAAATATGGTCATGCATAAGCTGCAAAGTGCAAATGGTAAAGTGACATTATTTCTTATAGTCAGCCAAAGAAGAATGAGACTGTGACACAGAGATGCAAGCAGGTCCTTACACGAGCACAAAACCATCATGTCCATGTCCATAACTGGTACATTATATATAAATATATAATAATCATTTAATCAATAATTAATTAATTAAAACCCACCTTGAAACACATTTTATTACGTTAATAGCCAGGCCATAACTATTCTCTTTTTACCGTTTGTTTTGTTGTTTTTTTTTTCTTTCATATAGTATCTTTACGTGAGAGGTTCCAGTACGGTCCAACATGAGACGACTGAGTGCGGACACGCGTTAAATGAGGAAGGGGGCACACTCCCTGGAGAAGCAGGAGCCTTTAATACAGCAAAACGAGACGAGACGGCCCAAAGCTGCAGAGATACTAAAGGTTACCTCAGATAAAAGCTGCTTACCTGATTCGTGACCTGAAAAGAAAGCAGAAAACAAAAGCGCGTTATGACCCCAGTTGGATCCACGGGCTAAGACCTCTCCCGTTCCCTGACATCCCTGAGGCGGCGATGCTGAGCCCGGCGCGGCCCCGAGATCTCTGCCCTTCGCCATCCTCCCGCCCTCCGTTATCCTCGCACAGCAGGCTGGCTGTCGGGCGGGCAGCCCTCCCACCGCTCATGCCGGGCACTCACGTCGGGGTTGGCCTCCAGGGGCAGCCAGCGATGGGGCTCCATGGCAGCGGCGGCGCTCCCCGGGCGGGCTGGGCCGAACTCGCAGAGCAGCTCTGACAGCGCCTCGCGCCGCCGCGCCTCAGCCTGACCCGGGGCTGCGCCACCGCGCCGCTCAGGGGGGGCGGGCCGAGGAGGAGACAACCTCAAGAGCCTGCCCGCAACTCCGCGCCGCTCCGCAGCGGCGGCCGAGGCGGCGCGGCCGGCAATGACCGCCGTCCGTCCCTGGAGTGCTCCGGGCGGCAATGCCCGGCAAATCTTCCACTCCGCACTGTTTCAGCTCCCCCCGGCAATGGATTCTCCCAGCGGGGCAAGGGGTGGTGCCTCGCCCGCCCCTGCCGCCGGGGCTCGCGGCAGCCGCCAGGGGGCGCCCCCGCCGCGGCCGGTCGGTGCCGGGGCGTGTCGGGTCCGGGTCCGCTCCCGCTGGAGCCGATCCCGGCAGGAACCAAGAGTGAATGAGGAGCGGCCGCCAAGCTCTTCGACAGCCCGGCCCCTCTGAAATGGCCTCCAGCAGCTGAACTGAACGGCGGCACGGGCAGCGCGCAGGGAAACACACCCATGGGGAACGGGGCAGGACATGGGCCGAGGTGGGACAAAGGGAAATCAGAAGGAGCGGCAGTCGCAGTGAGCTTCCCCTACGTCACAGAATGTTCTGAGTTGGAAGGGGCCCACAGGGATCATCCAGTCCAACTCCTGGCCCTGCACAGGACACCCCAAGAGTCACACCATGTGCCTGACAGAACTTCAGGCCATTCCCTCGGGTCCTGTCACTGGTTGCCAGAGAGAAGAGATCAATGCCTGCCCCTCCTCTTCCCCTCACCTGAGAAGCCCTCAGTGTGTGTAGCAGGGAGGACCCGGGCAGTGAGGTCCCCATATGACCTGCTGAAAATTATTGCTAATATGGGTTAAACCCAATTAAAGATGGCGTTTCTCTTCTAAAGCTGGAAATCCCCTCATACATTCCATCTCAGGACCATAAACGTAGCATTTCTTGGCCTTTTGGCTATGATGAAGCATATTGTAATGGATACAGAGCTTATACAGTGTAATTACATTTTATATATGTACACATACCAGATGCGTACCAGATGCCTTCTTTCAAGTTAATTCAGAAAGGCTAAAAATGAAGGAACCCATCATGGCACTGGTGAGGTTGCACCTCAAGTACTGTGTTCCGTTCTGGGCCCCTGAATTTATGAAAGATGTTGAGGTGCTAGAGCAGGTCCAAAGAAGGGCAATGAAGCTGGTGAAGGGACTCAAGCACAAGTCTTATGAGGAGTGGCTGAGGGAGCTGGGAGTGTTTAACCTGGAGAAGAGGAGGGACCTTATTGATCTCTACAACTGCCTTAAAGGAGGTTGTAGCAAGGTGGGGTTCAGCCTCTTCTCCCAGACAGCTGGTGACAGGATGAGAGGATGTAGTCTTAAGCTGCACTAGGGTAGGCTTAGGTTGGACATTAGGAGGAATTTCTTCACAGAAGCTGTGATTAGACACAGTGGCGATGGAGTCACCATCCCTGGAGGTATTTAAGGAAAGACTGGATGGGGGACTTAGTGCCATGGTCTAATTTACATGGTGGTGTTTGGTCGTAGGTTGGATTTGATGATCTCAGAGGTCTTTTCCAACCCAACTGATTCCGTGATTCTGTGATTTCTCGGCCCCAGCCCTCCCTGACTGCTGCTGCCCACCACCCTCTACAGACTGCAGCTGACCTGTGCGTCCCTTGCAGCACTTTTACAGGGCCTTGCACTTCCAGAGGCAGACATTTGGACAAGGTTTTTGTAGAAGCCCATGAGCTGGGCCTCCCAGCCTGCCTGGCCTGTGAGCACAAAGACCTGGGGCAGCGGGAAGCAGGTGCCTGAGCATGCATGTACATCTCGGTGAGCGGAGAGGGTGCAGGAAAGCTGGGATCTGTGCCAGCTCACCGGCTGATTGGAGTGCTGTGAGAGAAGGAAGGAGTGCAGCATGAGGAGCAGATGGTGTCTCTAAGTACTGTGGTACCCAGAAGTATCCAAGTGCCAGGAGGCCAGAAGGGCAGGGTGTTGGGGCACAGCTGAGGACCCAGGCACTGGAGGAACCCAGTTCACTGATACGCTTTCTCCCGTCTGCCTGAAGAGCTTTTTGAAGAACTTGGTGTAGTTCTTTAGAGAGTTTTGATGCAAATTGCACTGCCTTCTGTAAATGTTAAGTTTACTAATTGAAGAAATGATGTTTTTATTTTATTTTACCCCCTATAATTACTCAGCAGGACTATGGTGATGCTACATGCCTATGCCTGAAGCTTCTGCTTTGGCCTATCAACAATACTGTAGCATCTCTCTATTCAGTCTACTTGTAGCTCATGACATTTGTCTTCTAGTTTCTATACTAAGTGTCTCCTCGGAGGAAGTTCTCAGTCTTCTAGCTAAAAGATGAGCCTGTACTGTCAGGTCACCATCATAGCCTGCATCTCCATTCTCTGCCATGAAAAACTTCATAGAACACACTTCCAAAAGGCAGAATTTTCTAAAGATGCACAGTTTAATTCTGTGGATGGGCAGACAAGCTGAAATCACTGCGTACTTCACCACCTTCTGTTCCAAATTCAAAGAATTAAAAGTATGTTTACATGTTGATGAAAATAACCCAAAATAACTTCAGATTTCAGCAAATGATTTTGTAATTACCAAACCACAAAGATATTAAACTTCACATCCATCTCTACATCTTGGAGAAAGAAAGAAAAGTACCATAATGAATATTAGTCATAGTGCTAAAGGCACTACTGAGAGACTTAATGAAATTGCAATGTAAAATAATATGTGAAGTTCTCTAGATAACAAAGTATGTAATAGAGTTATGTAATTTAAGAACAAAGAGATTGTTAAGTCATGTCCTTGGTATCAGAGACAGATCTCAGTGGTGCATACATCGCTAGTGTTTTGACAACCATGAGGTCATAAGAACACACACTATTTAAAATCATTTGCACATTTAATTAGACACTTTAGAAGGGAGAGGCCAAGACCAGACAGGCCATAAATGTATAAAACTCATAAACACATATTATGTTCCATAATACTCTTTTCCTGAAATATAATCTAGACTCTTTCATTAATTGGAAATATGTAATTTTAAACTAGTCAGCAATACTGTGTATTATGTTTTACTACTCTGTCGCAGTCTCAGATTAGATCTACAGAAATTTTAACATTACTGTAGATATATAAAGTTAAAACTAAAACTGATTACTAGAGAAGTTTAAAAATATTATTTTTAAAAGTGAGACCAGTGAAGGATCAGTGTTGCCTTAATACTCCAGCCACAGCCCAAACTTAATTAAGATCAGTATGAAATGCTTATTGAATATGGTTCTAGTTTACAAAAGGTGTTTATTTCCCCATAAAGCTGAAGACGCTGTTTACCTACACAAGTCACGCATAAACTGCACACTTTTTTCACAGGTGTACAGAATGATTCTATAAACCACCTGAACAAAGTATGGTCATTTTGTACCAAGTTCAATACACTGTAAGTGCTGCCTGCACGCAGAACAGGGCATCGCCTCTCCTACAAAGACAGACTGAGAAAGCTGGGGCTGTTCAGCCTGGAGAAGAGAAGGTTGTGTGGAGACCTCATAGCTGCTTTCCAGTATCTGAAGGGGGCCTACAGGGAAGCCAGACAGGGGCTCTTCATCAGGAACTGCAGTGACAGGACAAAGAGTAAGGGGTACAAATTTAAAGAGAGTAGGTTTAGATATTAAGAAGAAATTCTTTACTGTGAGGGTGGCGACACACTGGCACGGGTTGCGCAGGGAGGCTGTGAATGCCCCATCCTTGGCAGTGTTCAAGGCCAGGTTGGATTGGGCTCTGAGCAACCTGGTCTAGTGGGAGGTGCCCCTGGCCTTGGCAGGGGAGTTGAGAATAGATGGTCTTTAAAGTCCCTTCCAACTCCTTAATATCCTGTGATTCTATGATTTGCGTACCCGAGCCTATGACAACGAGCTCCAAGAAAGCCCTGTCAATAAATCAAACTCAGGAACCTTCTTGCGCCAATCAAGCGTGCCTCGAGCCGGCCTTTCCCGGCAAATCTTCCGGGACGGTTATCCCCACCGCCAGTCTCATTTCCCGCGCCATCGCGCGGGAACAGCGCGTGCTCCCCGCGGCGCAGCCAATGGGGGCGGTGCCGCCGGCCCGGCCTCGCTCTGGAGGCGCTCGGAGCCAATCAGGGCGGCGAGCGCTGTGCGGCGGAGGCTGCGCCTGGGCGGGTGCGCGGCGCCATGGCCGCCGGGTCCGCGCGGGCTCTCTCGCAGGCGTTGGGGGCGCTCGGTGAGGGCAGGGGGGGACCCGGCGGGAGGGACTGGGGAGGTGAGGGGAAAGGGGGGCCGGTGGGAAGACGGGGGAGCTGAGGGGGGAACGGGGCTAAAGGGATAGGGGGCTGCGTGGAAGGGTGGGGCTGGGGGATTGGACTGAGGAGGAAGTGGGCTCGGAAGAGGGCTGTGCTTCTTTTAGGTAAATTTAGGTTAAGAAATTAAATTAAGGTAAACGCATGCACGATGGCCTAAGGATTTTTCAGACGAAGATTTTATATTTTTACTGTAACCCTTGAAGTTTGTTCCTGATCGCTGTTGCTTGTGTTTTTTTAGATGCTGGTGGTGCAGCAAATAAGATTAACTTAATACCTCAAGACTTCTTTGCAGAGCTGGTAAGTAGGGCGATAAGGATGTGGAAGGGCTTCTGGCACTCTGGTTCTAGGAAGCCTTTTTGTTTAAGCTTTCCTGGTTTTTGTCTGTTGCAAAGGGAATCTTGTGTGTGTGGTAGCTTCACTTACATGATTCATAAAATGCACCAGTCCTGCTAAGAGCAGTGGTATTGCCTGAAATTTACGTTTTTATCACAGATTCTTAAGAATCTATTTTTGCCTGTCATCTAGGTGGGGTATCAAGGTAGCTTTCCTAAAAAATATTTGGCTTGTTAAGTGTAGCATGCACTTGAACAGGATGACTTCAATTAATGTGAAAATGGTGTGTTAAGTAGGAATAGCCAGTGAGGCAGAAATTATAAATTCTTGATTGACTTTCTTTTCATGGATTTGATGTAATTTTAAAATCAGCTTTAATAAAGCATCCTGCTGTTGTCCATTTTTGTACTAACCCGTTTTCTTTTTTGTTTTGTAATCTCCCAAGTATTTGAACTAGCTCTGTCTTGTGTACTAAAATACGCATTAAGAATGTCTTCAATAATACTTTCTCCACAGTGTGAACAAATAATTCATCATCTGAACCATAAGATCCCAGGTGTAAATACAGCTGAATTGTGTCAGGTAAGTTGGGATACTCACACTTGTAAGTATAGTAGCTGTATATGCTGTTAAGGATAGAATCCCCGAGTCCGTGTGGGGGTTCGTGTGTGTGTGTACAAAGAGGCTTTTATTAATGCATAATGTTTGTAATTGTTTGAACATTCTGTTTCTAGAGAATTCAGACATCAGGGATTGAGATTAACATTGGTGACCTGGCAAAAATAGCTAACATTCTTTCATTTCTATTTAGGTAAGCACAAAATAATATACTTTTCACTATGTCTTCCCCCTCCCCCCTAACTTTATAATGGTATTAAAAAGTTACATCAAATGCAGGTATAAAATGAACTGATTTGGGAAAAGGGCAAAAGTTCGTAGATGTCAGTACACAAAAAAAACCTCCTGGGCTTAGTTTGTGTCCTTAAGATCATGTAGTTACTTAATACATAGTATAACTTTTTGTAATAAAAAGACAAAGAGAGGAAATTGTCCAAGATCCTGTCTGCAAGCTTTAGAACTAGTGGCAAAATAGAGGAAGTTAGGATCACTTTTAAAGCTAAGTCAGCTGTACCTTTGCCTGGGAGGAGTGTGTTTTTAAAAATTCTCGTTTCTTGGAGACTAGAAACCAGCATTTGTACCTCTTTGAAGGACACACAGCTTATAATGTTGCACTCTGCCATGAGTAGAGTTTTTAGGGAGTATTTTGAGTTGTTGTTTTGCTCTAAGTTTTTCTGTATTCAGGCATAAAATTTTCAAGATCTTACCTTCTTTTAACGTATAGTATCAAAACATTTTATGTAACATTAATACAACTGAAGAAAATAATGCCAGTAGAAATTTAAAATACTACTTCTCTAACAATAAAACAGAAGGCCTTAAATTATATTAGATTGTGCTACTTGGAGGACCAACTCACTTTGTCTTGTATTAGTGTCTCTTTTAAGAGGAGTGGACCTGCATGAACAAACATAGGCTAGGATTTATTTTTTTACCTGTTTCTCTAGAGGAAATCAAGTGGCAACTTTGTTCTAGACTTGCTGCCTTTTCAGTTGAGGGTTTATGGCATCATTTGACTCCTTTTGGTACCGATTATACCTAGAAGTCCTTACTTGCCATTTGGCGAAACTTAAATTACGTCTGCTGAATGTTTAATTAAATTGCCTTGTTTCTAAAATAATAATATTGTTTAACTGCTCCACGCACACATCTCTCACTGAATTATGCCTTCTTTCAGTTGCTACAGCACTTGGAGGCTGTGATTATTTTTGTTTTAATGTTGGATGTTGTGCAAGCCCAGAAAAGCTGGGTCTCTGTATACTAAGACATATTAAAGTCATGTTTTTTGCATGTGAATACAAAAGGTGAGTAACATTCTGGAAAAAAAAAATCCCAGACTACCTGAGTATTTTAAAGTACACGTAAAGCAGAAACAAAAAAATTGCTATTGGGAGTGAAGTGAGAAATTTTATTAAATTTGTGGGGAATGAAATTGATGCAGTGTTCTCTGGAAATACTTACAGCACAGCAGCCAGAAACAATCTCTCTACAGAAGAACTTGTCACCACCTTGGGCAGTGCAGTCAGCACACTGCCAAAACATGCACTTCAAGTTATCCGTCATGTATGGAATGAGCAGGGCAAATCCATTACTGCGGCAGAAGATGCAAGGAATGTGGCCACCGTGGGGCAGGTAACTAAGTGTGACCAAGTGCAGTGGAGCCAACTAAGAACACTTCAGAAGCATCAGTGCGTTGTGTTGTTGGCACACAGTGGTATCTTGACTGCAAAAAGCTTTCCTACTTGTATGTGTATGTACATGTTGCCAAATATCTATCCAGATAAAGCAGCATGTGCAGTAAAGGTTGTCTACATGCTGAACAGTTTCATAGCTTTTTAAAGATTAATGCTTTGTAGTACTATTAGCAAAGGTGGTAGTCAGTTTGGCAGACAATTGTATTGGCTGTTTACGTAAATCTGTTTTAAATGTAATTTAAATTCTTTAAAGTTGATAACCCCAGCACTTGATTGTTTGTTCTTTGTCTCCCTTAAGTTCAAACATTATTTTTAAAGATACTTTCTGTCAATTTCCAGCATACTTTCTTTGCTAGAAGAAATAGCAGTGTATTTGCATTTTATGATCTTTTTTTTTTATAACAACAGCTTAAAAGACTACAGAATTAGGAAAAAAAAGAAAATCTTTGTCTGAGGCTTGCTAGTAAGCTTATAAAGGCTCTTCACAAAAGGCAAAAAATGTACTTGTGATTTATCTAAAATACTTGTGATTTATCTAAAATATAAAATGCCATAATTTTTCTCTATTATTGCTGTTAGAAATTATTTGGTTTAGACTTAGAAACTTTGTTTTTGATTTAGAAACTTATTAAAAAAAAAGAAAACATGACAAACACATTCATGATATACAAGCCATGTGAACTTGTGTGTCTGAAACTCCTCTTAGTAGAATTTTAAATACAGTGTACTTGACTATTGCCTGTACTTGGATAAGGAAAACAGATTAAGGGAAATAACTTATTAAATTGCTTATTTTTTCACCAATAAAAGGATGGGCAGATGATTTTTTTATTCACAGTAATATCCGAATGTGTATGTTTGCTTTCCATTTGGATAAGAGCTCTAGACATCCTGTATTGTCTGTGGAACCTCCCTCCAACTGAATAGCAATGGTAGGGTAGATCTCTTTCTTTGACACTGTTTCCAATGGTTTTCATCTTTGCAGTTTGTAGATATGAAATGGAAACTGGGAGTCGCAATGAGCTCTGACACCTGCCGGTCTCTGAAGTACCCGTACGTCACAGTGACGCTGACGGTGGCAGACCCTTCAGGACAAATAACGGACAAGTCTTTTGAAATGACGATCCCACAGTTCAAGGTCTGTAGTGAGTGTTACTTGACTCAGTCTCCTAAAAACAGTGCTGTTGTTGTGAGGGAGCAACTGTATACCTTAATCCATACTTTTGTGTTGCTTGTTTACCGATACAGTCATGCAAAGATGAAGCATTAACTATTTAAAACACAGAAGCTAAATACTTACTTCACAGTATTTAGTTCTACATCGCTTATCTGAAAATGTTATTTTAGCAGTAATTAATCTGTTCTCATACAAATAAACTAACAACTGAAGACATAAAGTCTTTCAGATCATGTCAGCTATCATTCTGCCTTATTAGAAATGTATAGAATATTCTTAATCTATGGAACTGTTCCCCGGCCTCAAAATCTAAAACTTGTCTTAAGCCTAACATTTGCTAATGATTAGGAACGGAGATCAGTCTTCTTTGTCACCACTGACTCTTAATTACTATGTCTTCATCTATGAATTTATGCAACTTTAATTTTGCATAAATGCGGCACTTGTGTTGTCATTCCTGTTTAAAGGGATAATACATCACCTAGAATATCATATAAGCTTAAAATAAATAGACTGTTGGATTGGAAGAAATTTGAGAAGGATATTCTGAATCCTTCGGTGTTGTAAGATGTATTCATTCTGACTGAAGCCTATTTAACAATTTGCTATTCAGCTACTATAGGAAATGGGTGCTACATTTGAGAAGTCTGGATTAATTCAGCTGAGAGTAGAAACATTAGTGTGGAAAGGGGTGTTTTTATTTTATTTTTTCATGGTATGAGAGCTACTTTGTATTTTTCTTTCCTAGCATCTTTCCCTATTAATAGACAAGCCCATGCAAATAAGGCATCACCTTTGTAGAGTTAGTAGTTAATGTGCCCAAATGTCAACCAGCCGACAAAAAGAAAAGCAGAAACTTTCAGTTCAAGCTGCACATTGTAACTGGAGGAAAAAGGGAATGTGAGACATATGGATAGTGTTTTTTGCCTAACATGCTAGTTTGAACTGTTCAAACTATTCTTCAAGCAATGAAATTTATCTTAATTTTTGCTTTTTAGAACTTCTTCAGACAGTTCAAGGAAATGGCATCTGTTCTTGAAACAGTTTGAAGAGAACTTTCATTTACAGTGACGTTTTGGACAAAGTTAGATCAAGGAAACTTTCCTTTTTGCACAGGGAATAAAGTGCCATTGTTCTGCAAGGTATGTATCCTTGTCTTTTTGACAGGAATTGCTTGGCATCATCCTTGCATTGCTGTGAAGATTTCTTCGCTTTGAAGCCAACTCTGCAGTGTTTGTGAACACATGTTCAGCTTTGTTCATCCTGGTAGACAGAAGATCAGGATGTATATGGAGAACCACCCCTGTAGACTTCCGAATACCCACACTGAACTCTAGTGCAGAAAGACACCTGAAAATGTTGACTGGAAAGATACAGAGAGAAGTAAATCTCATGTTAACACTTTCGTCTGTAAAACTGGGATGCTCTTGGAGTCAAAAATGATATTACATATAAGGAGAATATGAAGGTACATGTAACAAGCATACAGTTATTCTTGAAGAATAGCATTGTCAAGTAGCTTGGTGCAGGTATTTGCAGACCTGGTTTCCAGTCTTTTAATAACTGGAGAATGAACTTGTCTTAATGGCTTGTTTATTTCAAATACTTATTTCTCACCACCTAGGCTTCTAAAAACTGCGTTAATGCATTAAGTTATTCCAGAAACCCAAAATTTATCCTCTGAATTGAAGCCCAGAGACTAATTTTACTTAAAGGTAGGAAGGCAAATTTAATTCAAAAGCATTTTAATATATTTTTGCTTTTTCATTTCATCCAGTACTAATTTGTTGCATTCTGCTTGATGTTTTGGTCAGCAGTTTGCTTTCTAATTAAATTAGGATATTCATGTAGTTGCTTCAGTCCAAGCTCTGAATTAGAAAAGTCAAGAGGAAACTTGAAAATTCAGGCTGGAATATTAGCCAAGCACATCAGAGAAAGGACGACACTAAAAGATTTCTTTGCTTGTTGCATTGTATTAGGCATCCACTGGACTCTGTTCTGCAGACTCGCTCTAAGAGAATGTCCTAACCAGCAAGATTTTGGACTTTGATGCTGAAGAATGGGGGCATTTCCAAAGGGGAGTGATAAATCCAGTGTGATTGCATGCTGGTGTTTTAATTTTTTTTCATTGAGTTTTCCATAAAGCAAAAAACACATTGCATGTACTGTGGGATGTAGTAAAAGCAACACTATTGCATCTCAAGATGTGCTGGTGGTGTAGTAGAACAATTAAATCTGAAGAGAGAGAAGTCATACTTATAAGCAGACTGAAGTTTATGCTTCAAATTCGGAATGGTAGAGACTCAGCACTAGTTTTGCTGGGACAGATCCTCAAGTGATTTCAGGCCCCCTTAAAAGTGAGAACATCTACCTTTCTAACTCACTTAATGGTTTTTTTCCACTAACGTTTTTTAAAAGCTGGCTGAAAGTCGTTGATATTGGTTATGCCTGCCTTTTTGTGCTATAAAAATAAACAGCACATTGTGCTGCATGCAGCAATCCTTTCAGGAAAGAGAGGATTTTCACCCCCATGATTTGGGTACTATGCATGGTGCATAAAAACAGTACTTGGAGTTGCTTAGAAGCCCAAATAAGTGAACAGGCTTTAACAAAAGTTTTCAGCTATGGCCATTGATCTGGATGATACTTTCTTTGTGCTGCTTGAAGTCAGAGGTGTTTGCTTTGAGGCTGGGGAGAGCAGATTGGTCTTTTCTGGGACCCTCTGAATAGAATGTCACAAAATGGTCTTGAAACAAACTTACAGTTTGCTCTTCCCTTGTCTGTCTGCAAGGGCTCAAGGCTGAATATAGTGCAAACAAATCCTCTCTGTGTATGGAAAAGTGATGTGAGCAGCTGACTTTTTTGTGGTTTTTTTTTTTTTAATTTGCAAACGTTGGAGTGTAAGGCTGCTATTACTCAAAAACATTGGCTTTGGCCTAGTGAATTAATTGTTTTACATTAGTGCAAGAGTTCCAAAAAAAGAATAAGGTTTTTTTTTAGTAAAGCTGGAGCCTTACAAATACTTCCCATGTGTTCTAATGCACATAAATTCTTCATATAGCTGGAAATACTTGTGCCTTCATTGGAACTGGATGGAAAAGATTTTATTAATCATGTCTTAACGATTCAGTAGATGCTGGAATGTAATGAGGGAACTTCCAGTTAGCATTTTTGCTTGGTCCATCAGGAAGGGGAGAAAGTTGTCAGCCTTTCTAAAGTGTAACTTACATTTTGTGAAGTCAGATATTCTAGAAATATTGATGAATATTTTTTAAAATGTCCCTGAACTCCATCCAGCATGTTGTAATTCTGGCTGGAAGATACTCGGACATGTGTGCTATACCAGTTTACTGTCTGAGAATTTTCAGAGGAGTTATGATTTGAAGTTGGCTCTGTACTCAAACTTCTGACATATCCTGATCTACCAGTGGGAACTCCTATACTGAGTAATGGAAGAATTAAGTACTTCATTAAAAGAAACCAAACTAAAAGAAACCTATCGGTTTGTAGGATAGCAATACTAACACATTCAGACAAGCTGACAAGCTGTTGAATTGTTTATCTATATTATGTGCAGAAACCAGATCTTTTAAAAGAGAATCAGGAGTCCTCATGTGTTCCTAATTCTAATTGTTGATTCATACAAAACTGTATAACATGAATATTTTTGTAAATCCACAAACAGTCATTAAACATGTAGGTAACAAAGATAAAGCTGGTCTGTATTTTGTTTTAAGCCTACTGCATGGAAGTCTGTCCTGTAAATTACTAAAGTTCAGGATTAGACTGACTAAATTTTCTTTCCTTTTTAAATTAGGATGGAGTTCAAACATACGCAGTCCTTCTCTGTGATGGGCTACCAAGGAGCTGATGGGTAACTGCAGGCTGCAAGGATTATTTGTATCAGTTACTTAGACCTAGACAAAATGTTGTATTGAATCAGGAAAAGACAGAGGACATACAAGATTAATGAAATTTTGCAGGAGGTTGCATTTAAATGATTTCCTTTTCTTAATTGTATTTAGGAGCCACGTGAACGTTTTATTTTTTTCAACATTTGCCTAGAACAGACTAAGAGGAAGGAAGGGGGATGGGGTCTTGCACAGTCGACAAACCCAGGGGAGAGAATAGTGAAGGAATGTCCTAGCAACAGCTGTTGTCATCATCATATGACTTTTCTTTTGCTTTAATTTCAAACACACCAGACCACTTGCAAAATGCTATTTTGTAGAAAGTGCCACAGAAAGAGTACACAAATAGCTGTAGTATGTCTGTGCACTAGTGTTTTATATATTGAGCTTCCGTACACTTTGGCCTAGTCATGACCCAAGTAAAAGCATCGCTGTTCCTACTTCCACAAAACTGTACTGCCTTTCTTTAACCACGTTATAAAGGTATGTAACCTTCTTGTTCACTGTGAGCCCATCCCCTTTGATTTTTTTACATTTCTCCTTTTCAAGCCTATGCACTCTATCTGAAGATACATTACCTTGGATCAATTAAAAACAAAAGTAGATAGATGATAAGTTGGGGGAAGAATGTTTTTTTTTCTTGCTTGCCCTGTTTCTTGTCATATTTGAATGTTTTGTTACCCTCCTAACTGTAGGTATAATGAGAGGGTAATTTCCACTCCTTTGCAGAGGCATGCAGGGTGGTTCTGGCTAGTCCTTGCAGGTACTAAAGTAACACACTAAAGTGCCTGAGTCATTTGATCTACCTGCAGCAAAAAATGCCTCATCTCTGAAGAACCTTTACAATGGAGGCAGGGGGAGGGGGCATTTGAAACTGAGCACCCTCTATCCTTTCCAGAATTCTTTGGTTGATCATGTTAGGGCTCATTTCCCAGATAGATTTTTTTAGGACAGTTATATGCCTGTTGGTTGGGCTGCTAGCTTGCTGGGCATTCACTTCATTAGGAAGCTGGATTTGTGCAGGTCCATATCTGACCTGAGTGCCTTGACCTGAGCTTGCATGGTATGTTGTTACGGTCCTCCTGAGGCTCAGGCAGTTCATAACTGGACTTTCTTGTCACTGAGAAATTTTGGCCAAACATTTGCTTTACTTTTGCTTTATCTGTACAGCACTGTCCATACCTACTCATCCAGGTCTACTTTTGGTTCTTTAAGGGAGGAGGGTCATGGTTTAATCCCAGGTCAAACACCACAAAGCTACTTGCTCACTCCCCTTCTGTGGGACGGGGGAGAGAGTCAGAAGAGTAAAAGTGAGAAAACTCATGGGTTGAGATAAAGACAGTTTAATAGGTAAGGCAAAAGCTGCACACACAAGCAAAGCAAAACAAGGAATTCATTCAGCACTTCCCATGGGCAGGCACATGTTCAGCCATCCCCAGAAAAGCCAGGCTCTGTTCCTGTGTAATGGTTACTTGGGAAGACAAACACCATTACTCCAAATATCCCCCCTTCCTCCTTCTTCTCCACCCTTTATATACTGAGCATGATGTCATGCAGTCTGGGATATCCCTTTGGTCAGTTGGCATCAGCTGTCCTGGCTGGGTCCCCTCCCAGTTTCTCATGCACCCCCAGCCCACTTCTGGAGGGATGGCGTGAGAAGCAGAAAAGGCCTTGGCTGTGTTTAAGCACTGCTCAGCAACAACAAAAACACCTCTCATTATCAACACTGTTCCCAGCACAAATCCAAAACATAGCCCTGTACTATCTCTTGTAAAGAAAATTAATTCTACCCCAGCCAAAATCAGCACATGAGGAGGCACGCAAGTTGGAGGGACGATGCTCAGTACTCCTCATACCTTTAAAAGACTTCCTGATTCTTGTTTCCAAGGCTTTTCTGAGGGAAGGGGGAGAAATGACCTGTCACTTGAACTGAGTTACTGGGATATGTCTGTTAATTATGACTTTGTGTCATTGAGAAAGTAAGGAATATGAGATTGCTGATTGTCTCCATAAAGGCTAATTTTAGGGGTTCTGGGTTTCCTCTTCCCTATACTTCATTTGCATCCTGTGGCTAATTATGGTCTAGTTGCCCTAATTTGAGAACTGCTTCTGTTCGATATGTGTAAGTGCCATAGTTACAAATACTCTGTCAGTGTTTACATTACAAATATTGTTATGTTTATATAAATTGGAAGTTTCAATGTTTTGTACATCACATACTGAGCTTAGGAACAGTAAGGAAAATTTATTATTTCATACGATAAATCTCTGTGCTAGGTAGGTAGTATTTCCAGGGGACTTGGTCATAGCATCGGTCACCAGGTGGCACTGCTACACACAGTCTTGCTACACAGCAATCCTTTGAGAGCATGTCTGGAAATGGGGTAAGGACTTCAGGTTTTCTCCCCTGTGTTGCTTGGATGTGGAACTGTACAGAGTCATGTCACCATAACTTCCATCCTACTTCTTACATTGTATGGAAACACTTTAATTTCTGTTTTAGTTATCAAAAAGATGAGCATAAAGATTTCCAGTGACACAAACAACATTCAGCATTTTAATGATAACAGAATACCTACCATTGTATATTTGCACCAGCTTAAAACAGTAATTTAATTATACTAATGTTTCTGCATTACGACTTGTTCTTCTAAAAGTATCATGTTGCATTTGGAGCCTGTTTTCATTTTACTTTTTTCCCTGTTTATACATTTCTCAAAAAGATTTTTCTAGATCTGTGACTTGTTTATAGAATAAGCATTTTCATTTCTCTATCCAAGGTCTTCATGCAGTTTGACCACTCTAAAATCCTTCTTCCCTAATTTTTTATGCAGCTTAGTTACCAGTGTCTTTATGCCGCATTTAGGAGTACACTTCTCTGCCACTGAAATTGGCCCAGGTGCTTAATTCCCCTGGGAATTACCTCTGAATCTGAAAAATCAGACATTTTTGGTTATACTGAAGCTGCAAAGAATTTTTCTGTTCCCATGAATGTCATCACTGTGATGTCTTTGGCAGTTGAGAGCTTGGCCAAATTAAAGCAAGACAGGCTTCCTTCCTAGTGATGCTTTTGAACTGGGAAGTACCGGATATTGCAACCACATATGAGGCCTGAGAGTGGTGCTAAGGTTTACATTCATAATAAGCAGAGGAATGTAAGCACATGTCTCACACAAATCACCAGTGTGCTGTACGATGCTGCTTCTCGCAGTTGGGAATGTGGGAAGATGAGAGATGCTCTGCAGGCAACAGAGTCAAGACAACAGATGTTGATTTACCTAGGAGAGAGTCAAGGACAATGAGAAAGAGGATTAAGGGGTTCCCATCTGTTCTTTTTTTTTTTTTTTTGGCAGCCACACTGGCACCATTCTTGGTATTGTGCTGGGCCTACAAGTGCAATCTGCTACAGATTTGCTAACCTTTCTAGCTTGTGGTTCATCCTTTGTAATACTATATTTGTGGAATAATATTAGATGTTCCTTTTGGCTTTGGCAATGACAATTCTGTCTTAGTTTCCATTGCTGGAGAGTTGGAGTGGACCAGGATCCTTTCCAAATCCCAAAATGAGGTAGATGTAGTAGGCACTGCCAGGCAGAGTAGACAGCTCCAGCAGCCATAGCACCTACTCCATTCTTCCTCATTTTTTTCTCTTCTATGTTACTGTTACTGCAGTGGTTGGGGAATGGTAGAGAAGTAAATGGCTCCTTTATATAAAAGCAGAAATAATTGGGAATAGGGAAGATCTTGTTGCAGAAGTTGCTCTGTCTTCTGCAGTAAATAGCTTTGCAACTGATCTGAGCTGCTAACAGCTAACTGTATTATCTCAACAACAGGGATTTTAGTAAGCTGATCTGATACACTTTTTCGAGGGGGGGAAGCCTTATTAAAAAAAAAAAAAAGGACCAAAGAAACCTCATCAAATTTCAAATGTTCCCACCTGGAAAGATGCTATGATCACATGTAAGCACACAGGACTCAAGATTAAAACTTAGTTTTAAACAAAACGAATTGTGGTTCTTCACTGGATTCAAAGTCTGTTGTGCTGGAAAGTTTCATGGGATGACTGTTACATGAAAAAATGACTAAAATAAGAATCTCCAATCAAATTTCTCTTTTTTGAAGAGAAATATAATATTTCAATACATTGTCTCTCTCAATAGGTGCTACATTAAATTGAATAAGAATATGCTGAACTCAGACATAAAATGTGTCCTTAAATTCTAGGGGTGCTTATGAAATTCTGCCTAGGGATTATTCTCTTATGAACTTTGCTCATTCCGATTCCCCTAAATCTGTTTTGGAGTGGGTCTTATTGGCAGAACAAATTCTAATCTGTCATTACCATCAAAAAAGATTAGTGCCATTTGAGAAGAAAAAAACAAAACCAAACCACCCACCCCGTATCAGATTAATTTTTCATCCTTTTCATTGTGTACAAATTGCACTGAGAGTCTCCTGCTATTGACATGTCTCTACAAGACCAATATGTCTTACTCAAACTTCTGGCATTGCATTTTAAACTATTGTAATCTCTGTACATCCTGCAAAATATACAACTTTCATCATTTCTAGTGAGAGGTTTTTTATGTACTTAAAAGAGGAAGCACCAGGGTTTCTCCAGCACTCCAGAAGTTTCAAGCCTTGGTAATATGTTCAGTCTACTGAACTTACTTTCTAATACTTCAGTTGTATTTCCAAAATGTATTTCACTACATTCTTCAAATAAGACTGGGTAGTTTAAATTAATTAAATGCTTTTTAAAAGTAAAAATGCCTGTATCTTGGATCTTGCAAAAAGGTGATT